TAAGTTATACCTCATAAACCTAATTTTAAATCAATAAAGTTTTTTAAAGTAAACCCGTAAAAGCTATGTATCCAGATAAGGAATATCTTTTTTGTAGATCAAGTAGGTCGAGGAACGTCCTTTGTGACCAAAATGATTTTACCTTGTGATGGTTATTAATTGTATAACTTTTGTCGTAAATTTTATATTAAAATGGTTAGTCGTGTTCGATCATCAATACGTGACTCTTTAAATTTGTCACCTCTTCTTACTATATTTTCTGGTTTTTTTGGCATGTGAAATTTTATTTGTCACAATTCGGTTTTTATGAAGATCACGGCTTGTGTCCCCATACCTACATTTACATATTAAGTTATTTTGTAAAAAAGTTTTTTTTACCGGATCAGAAAACAATAGCAATTTTCTTTTCATTAGGCTCACAAATGTACTTGTTTTTAAGTTTAATATTATACTTAAAATTATGATTTTGTTGTTTTTGTTCCCGGAGAAATGAATCCGATACCAAAAACAAGAACACGAATCGTGTATAAATATCAATCATTTTTTTCCCAACTACCCTACAAAAAAAAACATCCTAAATTTCAATTGATTTCTTTTCACTTCAAATCTCATAAAAACAATCTATTGTTATTATTATTATCTCTTTTCATTAACTTCATAATATGGAGGAGGCAACTTTTCAACTCACCCAATTCGCTAGAAGACCAGGTGTTGGTCATGAGGGAAGACCGATAAGAATAAGGTCTAATTTTTTTGAAATTACTAGATTACCGGAAATGAATATCGTTCAATACGATATAGCAATTACTCCTACTGTCCCTAGGAGGTTAAATAGAAGGATATTTAACCGTTTCGTGGCGCAAAATCAAGGAGGAGCACTTGGAGATGCAAGACCTGTGTTCGACGGTATGTATTTAAATTATTAATGCTATATATATATAATGTCTAAATATATGCTTGTATTTAAAAAGAGGGAAGTGGATACTAACTAATAACAAATGGTTTGTAGGAGGTAAAACCATGTTGGCACACAAGTTACTACCTTTTGGTCAAGACGCATCCTTCAATGTAAATTTCTTTTTTTTTTTTTTTTTTGGTTTTTGAAATTAATGAGTTTACTATATACTATTTAACAAAATTTAGGTGAGAATGGGGGAAGCTCGAGATTTTAGAATAATATTAAGAAGGGTTGGCCAGGATATTAATATGAATGAATTAATCCAATTTTTAAATGCAAGAAGTCCTATGACCAACAATTGCCAAATGGGTAAGTTTTAGTTATTGTTTTTTTTCTTTTTAGTAAAAAATGAATCTCATATCATATTTATGTAAAAGCAATGATGGCGCTGGAAATTATATTTGGTCACAAGGCTTCTACAGAATATCCTACCGTAGGTAGATCTTTTTATGTTCCGCACGGAGCCCATCCTATTACCGGAGGAGCTGAAATTTGGCAAGGTTATTACAAATCAGCTCGTCCCGCGAGAGGGAGGATGTATTTAAACATAGATTTAAGCGCGACAGCCTTCTACGAAGGAGGTCCGCTTGTTCAAATGATAACCAAAATATTGGGTCGTAGGTCTCCCGACGACCTACATAGGGGCCTTTCAGATAGGGACCGCCAAAATGTTGAGAAAATCATTAGAGGTCTTAAGATACGGGACAATCATCGAAGTGAAATTAGAAGATCTTTTAAGGTTATGAGATTAACTCCAACCTCCGCTTCTCAAACTAAATTTCAAAAAGATGGTAATACCATCGACGTAAGACACTATTTTCAGGTAACATACAACAGACGATTGTTGTATCCCTTCCTTCCCTGCGTTGTCGTAAGAGGGAATGTTTGTCTTCCCATAGAAGTGTGTGACGTCGAACAGGTAAAATATGTGATTTATCTAACAATATCATATGATTATAAGAATATTTTTTTTTTTCCTAAAAAAAAGAAATTAATTTCATATAACAGGGACAACGGCACATAAGAAAATTAAATAAAAGGCAAACGGAAGAAATGATGACGTTCACGCGTCAGAATCCAACCGTTCGTGCGAATAAGATCCGAGACGGTTCTAATAATTTGTTAAATTATCGAGGCGATGAATACCTTCGGCAATTCGGGATTGAAGTATCAAATGAGATGGCAGTGGTAAGTTTGAAATATGAATATTGTATCATAGGAATTTTTTGATTATAATAATATCTTCAATAACGCGAACTTAATTTTATAGGTGGAAGCTAGAGTTCTTACTCCACCAACGATTCAGTATCACCCGTCGTCGAGAGAAAATCGTTTCCGCCCTACGGGTGGAGCATGGAATTTACGAGACAAAAGATTAGCTACAGGCGCAACACTTGGCTCGTGGGCCGTTTTGGCTTTTTTAAACTCTGACGTCTTACCGGATCATGTTATAATTGCATTTATAAGGGAACTAGTAAATACATGCCAAGATACGGGAATGGTAAATTAAATGATGATCCCCTTTTTTATGAATCATTCAAGTTTCTAATTATTACAATTATAATCACAGAATGTTCCCAATAGAAACCCTCCAATATTACGTGCGAATCCTCAAGGCAATATTGAGGAATCATTAAAACAAGCTTGGTTAAGGGCCGGCAATACGGCTAAAGCCCAGCCACAACTTATACTTTGTATTCTCCCAAACACAGGTGTACCGTTATACGCAGAGATAAAACGTGTTAGCGACACAGTCATCGGTGTTGCTACGCAATGTGTTCAAAGTCAACACGTGAGGAACGCAAAAAGGCAGTATTGTGCCAACGTTTGTTTGAAAATTAACGTTAAACTTGGGGGTATGAATTCGTTCATCGATCCCACTCAGATTCCGTTTATTTCAGATAAGCCCACCATTGTGATGGGCGCAGATGTCACTCATCCTGCACCTGGACCTGGTAAAATTATTTATTTATTTATTTTTCTTCAAATGAACTATTTTTAACGTATTTTGTTTCTCACATCTATTTCCAGGCAGCGAAGGACGTCCGTCTTTCGCTTCACTGTGTGCTTCTATGGACGCTAGAGCGTCCCGTTATGCAGCATCTATTAGAGTCCAAACTGGTCGTGCCGAAATAATCGCCGATTTGGCGAACATGGTTAAAGAACTGTTGAAGACGTTTTATCAGACTTGTGGACGAAAGCCCGAAAGAATTTTGTTTTACCGGGACGGAGTCTCGGAAAGTCAATTTCAAAGTGTATTAAGACATGAAATAAACGCGGTTAGAGGTACTTATTATACATAATTCACGCTCTTCGCTAATTAAGTTAATTTATTATAACCAATTTTAATTACTACAGCCGCATGTCAAGCTCTTGAGGCTAGCTATAAACCTTTGATCACATTTGTTATAGTACAGAAACGGCACCACGCTCGTTTTTTCCCAATAGATAGGCGTGATTCCGATAGAACAGGAAATTGTCCCCCTGGAACAGTAGTCGATTCACGAATTACGCATCCATTCGAGTTCGACTTTTGTAAGTAATTAAATTTACACCAATATACAAAATCAATATCATTTCTAAGTAACTTTAAATCCTTATAGATTTACAAAGTCATGCTGGGCTATTGGGAACGTGCCGGCCGGCTCATTATCACGTATTATTTGACGAAAACAACTTTAATGCGGACTCGTAAGTTGATTTAATTTCAGTTTAAATAAATTTAGAATACGTGACTAATTTATGTATTTAATAATTTAGGTTACAAACTTTAACGTACAACCTATGTTACATTTATGCGCGTTGCACGCGTTCGGTTTCATTGGTAAGATTTTAAATTGCATTTATTATTATTATATGCCGTAATAATAGTAATTGTCTTATATTTAAATAGGTGCCACCAGTTTATTACGCCCATTTAGTCTCCACTAGGGCAAAACTTCACGCACGCGATCTTTATAGTGATACAGAATCGTCCGAAGAAGGCACAGGTGGAGCGACCACATTTGGAGTGGTAAAGCCAGAGTTGCAAAGGGTAAATTTTAAATGAATAAGACATCTCAAATTTGCATGATTCTTAATTATCTCATTCTAAAATAATCTTCCATTTTTTTAGGTTATGTACTTTGCATGATAATTTTACATTATTTATATATAAAAAAAAAAAAAAAAAAAAATGAGAAAAAAAAATCTTAAAAAAAATTTACTAAAAAAAAAATAAGTTATAAATAATTTAATATTTCTTTTATTATAGTTTAAATGATATTGTTATCTTTTTATTTGTTAAGATTTATAAGATTATTTTTAAAAATAAACCAATTTTTTATTTAATAATATTGACTATTAGATGAATTTATATCTACATTTCTAGTTAATGTCATAAACATGTCCTTGTCTTTTGATCCCTCTATAAGCAAAGACACAATCATTGTGATGTGTATTGATTGATTGTGGTGTGGCAAACAAGGATTATATGATCGAAATGTATTTTTTTTTTTTAAAAAAAAAAAAAAAATTTGTCAAAGTGAACATGATCTCGTATGAACCTATAACATAATGACTGAAAATAAAGCCAAGATTCAGATCTACTCACATCCAAGAAAGACATTTAATAAACACATGATGATGTCTGCAAGTTTTGCTCTAATTCTTTATGTACACATAAAGAAAGTTCGACCAATTCGACCGATCAATTCACTTAAAAAAAAAACATTAAATCAAATCGTATTTTAGCAACATTTGATGATAAAAATTTTCAATTATCCAACTATCTTTCTACATACTGTATATTTTTTTTCCTTTAATAATTCAATTTTAATTGCTCTTCGAGGAATGTTTTTAACATTGAATTACAGTCGATTTCTACAGTATTCGCTTTACCTTACCGATACATTATTATTAAAAAAAATTGATAACGATAAAAAATTGAGTACTAATTGCATATACTATTTAAAAATCAGAGTGCTGATTTGCATGTACTATTTTACAATGACTCAAAAGTTCATAATTTTTTTTTAAAAAAAAATCACATATGCATAAAGAAAGCCCAGTGCAGGAATTGAACCCGCATTTCCATTCAGGTTGTGAGGTGTGGTGTTCTAACAATTGAACTAACTAGGCGCTTGATTTATTATAGTATTGTTTATTTAAAATACATTACATATAGCAGGTTAAATATAACGATAGAATTCTACTTTCCTATTATATATAAATACCAAAATAACGACTTTAAAATATTTTCATACGGAATTATGGATCGTTATATTCGAAATTTGATTGTATTATTATAAGTAAACATGCTCTTTACTCGTCGAGAAACATTAGGAGAAGAGGAATGAGAAGAGAAAGTAGATACTTTATACGCTTGCATTTTAAACAAAATTCGTAATAGACATCTATTTTATTTAATAAATTAGAGTATAATCAAGTTTCAAGACATACTTCTTTATTTAATTCAATTTTCATGAGAATTGGAAAATATTTATTTTTTTATTTTAAAAAATTATTATGGTTTATAAATAAAAATATATATATATATATTAAATTGGAATTAAATTTTATTTATTAATCTTTATTATATGTAGTGAATATTTATAAAAATTATAAACAATTATTATCAAGTTTCCAACTTCTTAATGCAATTTCACGCTTATTTAAAACCAGAACTCGAGTTCTTCTAATTTAGATGCTAATTCTTTTCCTTTATCCGGTTTATCATTCTTATCACCAATTTCAGTATCAGAATCAATTATAATCTTTTCCTAGGCTACTTTGATTGTGCATTGTTTGCTTACGTCTCACAGAAACTGACATTGTTTTCTAATATAATTTGTGCTTCGGCTAAACATATATTAATTAAAAATAAAGGTAATATTATACATAATCAAATAATTAAATAATCAATTTACCTTTTCGTTTATTAGATTGAACATTACGAGTAATGAGATCTATATAATGTCCCTGAATTAGCTATATTATATCTTTGATAGCGGCAAAACCTTTCTTTATGCAATTTACGTCCTCTATAATAAGAATGATTAATTATGCTAATTATAAATTAATTATTTAAAATTTCTATAATGATAAAGTATATTTTCATCAGTTTTATTCATATTACTCGAAAGAATGATAGATTATTCCCGACTGGAATTAAAATCGTGCACCCAATCTTTTGGTAATAGGGTAAATCTAAAAAAATAATAATTACAGTTACGAATTTTGTCATTTCATCAAAAGTGGTGTTTCATTCCTTTATATGTATATAACCGGTTTGATTTGGGGAATTTGTTTGTGGCGATGATAAAAAAAAGCCGATTTTCCATGATTTTATTTACTCGTGAAATGATTGGACACTGATTGGACTGATTTTGTACTACGAACACGTGAAACAACTGAGGTTTCGGAACTGTTTCGGATAGCTTCGGGTTTAAAAATTTTTTTGACCAATGGAAATTTCACGCTGTATTTATCGCGTATTTTTCAACTGCTATTTAAATAACAATTTTAGCATCGGACTTCGACTTCCATCTTATTCACATTCTTCAATACTTCGAGTATTCACTAGTTACTCATTAAATAAAATGTTAACATACTGTTCATACTGTTTAAACACAGTATGAACAGTAATTTATTAGAATCTTCATATAAATGTATATTATTAATATATACTGAACCGAAAAAAACACAAAAACGCATATTCCACCATTTTTGCCGTTGTTGGCGAACGTCATGTAAATATATCATTTCCAAAGAACAATTAAACGCGTTATTTTATCCTTTTTACCACCTTATTAACCTTATTAGGTTTCTATTATATAATTTATTTATTTTATAGGTCACAATTGCGAGGAAGGAGTTTAAAATGATTACCTGAAATTACTCTTAGAATCATTCCGTCGTGATTTTTGGTGGAGCGACGGGCACTGTGAACCGGCTTTAAGCATTGTAATGTCTCTAAATTTGTCATTGAAAAACTCATTATTATTATAAATAATGCTTACAAGAATTTAATTCTTTAGGATGTGCATTTAACCCCGGTAATTTCTTGCATAGATCAAAAATATGGACGTTATGAACGCCAGTAATCAAGACAAAATTTTCATGTGATCATCGATATGTTAATATATGAATATGATATATCCTTCTCTTTACAAAGGGGCATCAGCCCGCTTCAGGGTTTTAAAAAATCAGTGTAATCGATTTTATCTTTTAGACACAGTAGATCCAATCCTTTTGATTCCATTTGTATTTATTCTGACTATATAGATAGATGTTTCAACATTTGTATTTTTATTGTAATTTAATCTTTATCTGTATTCATTATTTATTTATTTATTTAAAATTATTGTTATTTTTTATTATTTAATCAATTATGTTACGATGATTTTACTATTTATTCTAACTTTAGTTGGTAATTTTACCATAAATATAATAGCTAATCAAGGCTTGTTACAATCTCAACCATTTTTGTCTGTTATAACGAAAGTACTAGTTGATCGTCTATTTTCAAGCTATCATTTTCTTTAGAGGGGACTCTTACAATGATTTTATTCAATGATTTTATCGACCTTCGCGTTTCTTAAGTCTTAGAACTTTTCTGATCTTTAAGATTTTCTCATGAATTCTCGTGTTTTCTTTTTTTATTGTGTTATTAGTCGTCTTAAATTTAGGACGGCTTTGATCAAATTGCCACAGTAGATCACAATATAATAGATTTTAGGAATAATCTATACTAAGAATAATAGATCAAGGATTATAGAATAGTTGTTATAAAGTGTATTCGTATTAAATATAATTTTGATTGAAATAAAAGATATTCCTTTGTAAATCTTTGAAATGATGATTGACCAACATTTTCTTTAGATAATCCAGTAATGCTACATGATTCAAGTTTAAAATGTTTTAAATTTTCCAATTTGGCCAAACAATAAAGTGGAAATCCACATCCATAAATAATTCTATGTAATTCTATATATAATAATATAGTTTTTTAAAAAAATTATCGTATTATTATTTCGTTCCTTCATTATTATTAAAATATAGAAAAAAAATTCGTTTTCATAGTATGATTTATACACACATATATGACATCATAAATAAAATGTGTATCTTCCTGAAACTTGAGCATTTGATTACTAATAACAAAATAATAAAGTTTAATAAGGAGGAGAAATTAGCATATAAAAGAACGATTAAAAGTGGTAGATACAAGGTGTATTGATCAAGATTGCAAAAAAATTTCATATGGTTTCAGTAATGTTTCAGTAGTTGTAGACTTGTTGTTTGTTTGTTCATTGATTCATCATTTGTTGTAATTGTGATGGATCATGTAGTAATAGTTGTAGTTGTAGTTGCAACTTCACATAATAATGGTAGTTGCAATAGTAGTTGCAGTGGTAGTATTCATTAGTATTCATCTGGTAGTTGGTGCATTTGCCAGTATTCATCCGGTTGCAGTTGTGACAATGATAGTTTTGTCGATTAAAAAAATAATTTGATTCAACCTCTAAAAGAACAAAAGATTTGAGTCTACTTGACGTCTATAAAAATAAATGAGCAAATGAAACAAAAAATAATTGTTAATATAATAAGAAAAATCTTTGTTCTTGTGAAATTCAATAAATTTGATGCAAAATTATAATTTGTCTTAAGACATTAATAAATGATACAAATGGCGCGTAACCATTTTAAAATAAATCAATAACTGAATAACATAATATAATTTAATCAATCTATTATATGATACCTGGTTCATTTGATTCGTTAGCTGTTAGATCTATCAATTAGTTAAACCTAGTTGATTTGATGCGAAAAAAGATAAGATTTTTGAAAAAAAGATCTCAATTTTTTATATAATCACGCTCAAAAGCCACTTACGCCAACCCGAATGGAATAATTTTAAAGGGATAAATCCTTTTTTTTTCCTTGAAATCCTGTCAGCTAAAAATTTCAGATACTTTTGAACCTATGACCTATATTAGATAATCAAATGCTTAGTTTTAAGTGTATGACTGACTGATCATCAACAGAATCGATTACAAAAAATAAAAAAATTTACTTGTTTTAAATCTTCTCCAAGAAATATTTTTGTGAAAAGACAAATAATGTTTACATGGCTTATGTTTTTACATCCTACAGTGATATAAAAATTCTGTGTTTGGAATAAGGGGCTTGAACGTGGAAAGATATTCTTTTTGGAAAAATCCTTAGCCGGATCGTGATGAATTAGCTGTATACGGAAATCATTCACGCGTTGTACTTTTGTACTTTGAAATATTAATACTTCCGTTTACCCATTTAGAACTAAAGTTTAAATAGTCTCATTCCATTCACAATGATATTATAAAATTATGTCAAGGATACTCTTTCTGGTGAAAATGGTCGTCATTTGTAGAAGGAAATAAATAGTTCATGTGTTTGTGTGTTTGTGCGATATGTATGGGCGCAGCCTTTTGAGAAATAAAATTCCTTCAAAACGTAAAACGTAAAATATTACTAATATTCATGATGGCAATGGTCACCAGGCTATGGTGGCTATGGTAAAAGTGATTATATCGATGGTGGTGTTTCTGCGCAGAATCCTACAAATTGGAAAGACAACTGAAATGGAATTCAAAATTAGTAACGTTCCTTCTCGGAATAGAATAACCGATATAAGAACATATTTTGCATGTTTACAAGGTGAAAATGGAGAGGGAGAATTCGGGATTAACGTCCAACCTTCGTTCATGTTAATTTCAAGTTCGTATAGTTAACTTTATATCTCTTTCAGTTTCTTAATTAGAAATTTTTAACGAATTGTCGGTGTTTTTGGTTTTACTTTTTTAATAGGCCTGTTCCTACCCGATGACCTTCCATAGAAATATCTTGCATCATGCTTTTTTGATCAAGCAGAGGCAAAAGAGAGCTTGAAGTTTCATTTGTTTCAAGTAGAAAGTCTCGAAATGGGCGTTGGAAACTTTTGTCTAAGATTAAATACGTCGACTTGATAAATTTTACCATGAATTATTAAGTGTAGAATTTGGTGTTAAATCGACTCAAACTCAATCTCACGAAAAGTCCACGTGGATCGATCACTATAGCGAACAAATACCAGCCAAATATTAGGAATTATGCGTTA